ACGATAGGACGCGCGATGGGAACGTAGAGAGGGATCGGACAGGTGGGGGTGTGGGGCATAGCCGCGATATATCGTGGCTGAGCCTTTATTAAAACTGCTTTCGGTATTATTGCTTTCCGGGAACGTCGAGTCTCGAAAATGGCATTTCCGCGAGATAGGCCGTGGTCGTGTGCGCAGCCCAAAATATATATATATATGTGTATATATATATATATATATATCATGCCCCTAGTCGCCGCGAGACCTCGTCGTCGTCTCTTCGGGCCACCGTCGCAGCCTGGCCCCCCCGCTATCACCCGCAATAAATATGCTCTTCACTTTGTACAAGTCGCTCGCGTGCTCTTATATTGCTCTCGCCTGGTTATTGCTTGCCGACCGAAAACTGACTCGCCGCCCACTTTCGCCCCCTCCCCCTTCTATCCACCGCCACGGATCATCCGCCAAATCTGCATGCAACCGTGTTCCTCCTCCTCCTCCTCCTCCTCCTTTTCTTCCTCTCTCCTCGTCATCTCTCTATTTTTCCACGCACCACCAGCTACGCGAAATCGAATAATCATCCCTTACCCGATGTATTTTTCACGCGAACACGTAGGATAATATTTAAAGAGCTGTTCTCCCTTAACTTTTGCACCGACCACTTTGTCCCCCTCCGTTTCTCGATTCTCTCGAAAAACACTCGGTGCGCCATTCTCTCGCGTTTTTTATTATATTTTCCCGCGTAGGAGCAAGGAGTCTCTGTACGTATGCGGGAGGAGGGCGATTTTTAGATAAGCGCGTTGAACGGTCGATTTTCGGTCGATTCGTTCGATCCTTGGTTGGACGGATCTCCCAACTCGACCCAGATTCGAGAGATTGCCGCTCGTCGAGGATATCTGTTCGCTCATTGCCGGCTCCTCTCTCTCTCTCTCTTACCCATCCCGGCCCCTACCCAACATCGAGAAACCGCCAGAAATTCTGTCGACGTGGAACTTGTGTGCCACCGAACGAAATCTTTCATATCCGATTATACGTGCGGGTATTTGTCGAGACAAAGTGGTCGGGGTCTCCTCTCTCTCTCTCTCTCTCGAGTTGTCTCGGCAAGCCGCGTCGAGACGATGCTTGGGGAGAAACCCTTGGACCGTATGGAAAGCAACGGAACGACGATAGTAATAAAGGCGTCATGACAATAATGGATGGTATTGACAACTCCTCTCCTTGCCCCCTCTCCCCCTTCCCCCTTTCTAAGCAGTTCTAACTCGAGGAATCTTCGTCTCTCTCTCTCTCTCTCTCTCTCTAGATTCTCATCTCTCCTTCCCTCTCCTTCGATCCCCTTCCCCCTTTCTATTTAGACCGTGTTAGAAAGCTTGGTAACAGCGACCAAGCGGCGAATAGTTTCCTCCCCCTCTGGATCGTCTCGAACAATGCAAATTGATGCGGAATCGATACTAAGCTGGTAGGTAAGATAGGTAGGAGTTTCTAATAAGATTCTCTCTCGCTCGCTTCGACGCGCTCCCCCTTACGGATAACCGACCCGTTTCTCCGTCTGACGAATCATATCCCCCTCTCCTCCTCTCCCGCTTGTTTCGGTAGGCGATCGAGGCGTTGTCGCGAACATCGCTACATCGACCGTATAGCGTACCGTGTAGGGGCGTACAGGTATATACAGGGGAAACTCGATGAACCGTAGTTACGGCGGTAAACGACCGTTATCTACGCCCGACACTCCGCGTACGGGTAATTCCTATAAGGGCGATGCGAGAGAGAGAGAGAGAGAGAGAGAGAGAGAGAAAGAGAGAGAGAGAAAGGAAAAAACAACAACGGGTGCACACGCTTTTCCGGATAATAAGCTTTTATTCTTCCGTGACGTTAGGTTTTACTGCATACCGAATAAGAGGGGAGGGATGGAATACAGGGTATTAAAAAACCTTGGTAGGTTTTCTCTTCGACCCGGTTCTGTTTCTCCCGTTTTCCCTGTTACATCGGTATCGGTGTCAAGTGGAATTCCAGTTTTTCACGTTAAATCGGCCGGAACGGAGAGTGACGGACGTTTAAAAAAACTCGCGGAGACGGGAGAGAGAGAGAGGATATCGTCTCGTCCGGAGACACGACGAGAGGTATTCGCGAATTGACAGACGTCTCGCTTTCCATTTATAGGAGAATGCAACCGGTACAGATGCACCGTTCCACGAGAAACACCTTCCTCTCTCTCTCTCTGTGTCGTACTCGGGATTATTTGTAAAACGTACGTATATGGGCGTATATTCGATTTCACGCGGGCAGGATAGGCACGGAATAATTTATAAGCGCATTTCATGGTTGATCACGTCCCGTCCCCGTACGTTCACGATCTGTCGGTTAACTACGTATCGGGCGGCCACCCACTACCATCTAGGCGCGGAGAGAGAGAGAGAGAGACAGAGAGAGAACTGGCCGGGTTCCACGTAGCGTCCTCATTATTCGTAAATTATTTGCCGGCCGTCACGTTGGCCCGAGCGGGGAATTGGAATTGGTTGCCTCGCGACCGTATAGGGTGCCGGATCGTAATAATATAGGAGATGTTCGTGTTGGCGAGACGCACGCGTATTCGAACAAACAGTTGAACAGTCTATCTTTCTCGAGAAAGAAATCGTGGTTAATAGCGATCGAGTCGAAACAGGGGATTTCCTCTTCTTCATCTTCTTCGTCTCCTCGCGCGTTTATTTCGTCAACGCGTATATATGTCTGAATTATCGAGCCAATGGAGCGTCATCCCGCTTCGTATCTTGTTGCCTTCCTTCTGAAACACTCGGAAAAATTGCTCGAAGGATCTTCGACACAGATTTCGACATCCCCCTCCTCCAACAGAGGAAGAAAAAGTTTCTTCGGAAACTGTCGTCGCGCCCCACGGAACAGGACAAGTTCTCTTATCGTTCGCGAATCCACGTTGTTACGTTGTCCTCTCCTCTCCTCTCCTCTCCTCTCCTCTCCTCGCGAGTTGTTTATTCGCGGACTCGAAATAACATCGAACGTTCTCTCCGTCCGACGAGACAGGGGAGGGACGAGAGGGGAGAGAGCGACGATTCGATTCCCCGGCCCCGCGGAGGGGCAGCGCGTGCATTAAAAATAACAACGTGACGCGTCACCGGAGAAGTTGGCCGGGATTAATGGGATTAAATCAACCCCTCTTTTTTTCCACCGCCCCTCCCGTCCCCAGTGTGCTCCACCGTACGCGGCGGAGGGCAATCAATTCGCGACTTTTGCTCGGCCGCGCACGGCCCTCCCCCCCAATAATAAAGATAACGAACCGATAGGGGAATAATAAAGATAATGAAGGGGATACCGTATATACAAAGTCCATACGTATGAGGGAATAGATCGCGCAACAGTGGACACTGTTTGAGCGCAGCAGAATTAATGACCTGC